TACCCAGGCACACTTGTGCACCGATACCCCAGTCCTCGGGCACACGCGGGCACCGATACCCTGGTCCTTAGGCACACATGTGCACCGATACCCAGGCACACTTGTGCACCGATACCCTGGTCCTCGGGCACGTGTGTGCACCAATACTCGGGCACGCATGTGCACTGATACCCGGGCACAAGTGTGCGCCAATACCCTGGTCCTTAGGCACACATGTGCACCGATACCCGGGCACACGTGTTCACCAATACCCAGATCCTCAGGCACAAGTGTGCACTGATACCCAGGCACACGTGTGCACCGATACCCTGGTCCTCGGGCACACGCAGGCACCAATACCTGGGCACACGTGTGCACCGATACCCTGGTCCTCGGGCACAAGCGTGCACCCATACCCTGGTCCTCGGGCACACGTGTGCACCAACACCTTGATCCTCAGGCACAAGTGTGCACCGATACCCGGGCACACACAGGCACTGATACCCTGGTCCTCGGGCACACGTGTGCACCAACACCCTGATCCTCAGGCACAAGTGTGCACCGATGCCTGGGCACACACGTGCACTGATACCCCGATCCTCAGGCACGCGTGTGCACCGATACCCAGGCACACATGTGCAACAATACCCAGATCCCGGGGCACACACGGGCACCGATACTCTGATCCTCAGGCACACGCGTGCACCAGCACAAGCACAAACACATTACGACACGGGCACACGCGTGCACCGATCCCTGACACATGCGTGCACCGATACCCTGATCCTCGGCCACATGCAGCCACAAGCACCAACACACCAACGCCTGGGTACACGCGTGCTCCCTCCTTGAACACACTTGTGCAATGACCCTGGGCGCAGGCGTGCACTAATATCCCTCGGTGCACACGTGTGCACCAGCACAAGCACAAACACATTAATGCACAGGCACACGCATGCTCTTCTGCCCTGGCACACGCATGCACCCTCCATAAACACGCTTGTGCACCAATCCCTGACACACACGTGCACCGATACCCTGATCCTCAGGCACACGCGTGCACCAGCACAAGCACAAACACATTACGACACGGGCACACGCGTGCACCCTCCCTGAACACACGCGTGCACCGATCCCTGACACACAAGTGCGCCGATACCCGCGTCCCTGGGCGCACGCGTGCCCAGGCACAAGCGCCAACACACCAACGCCCGGGCACACGCGTGCTCTGGGCACCCTGGCACACGCGTGCCCCCGGCCCCAACACACGCC